CAATCGGAGATCCAGAAAATATACTTACCCAATACAAAATATTGTGATTTGTCAGTGTCTGGCAAATTAATTTATCGCCCGAAGTCTGACATCAAGGAAAGTGATTCTATTGCTTGCCACCATTGTTATATTCAATGTAACTGGCCGTAACATTAAATAACTGTAACAGTTAGGTTATGAGAAGCCCTTTCTTTGCACAATTTGGTGCTCAAAGAGGAAATAAAACATCAACAGAAGGAAGTTGAAATTTAACGATGCTTTGCCTGCAGGTCACCACTTCACAAAATTTACCTTAATTTGTAAAATGTAATTTCAGTTTTTGTTGTTGTTAAAATTCCATGAATGTGATTTGTGAAGCCAACAGTTGGAAAGGGAAGAAATTTGGGGAAATGCAAACAGGTACAGGTACTTATTGTGTTCTAAATGATCATGCTATTTTTTTTAATAAGAAAATTTCATACATTAATTGTTACTGAGTTCAGCCATTCAGTTCAGCTTTATAATGATTCAATGCTTCAAGGTGAATTTTGAGTGATCCACTCATATATGACATAGGCATGCGTAGCATGCAAGAATAATTTTTTTGGCTGGGTGGGTTGAGATGGAACAGTTTGTGTATTAAATGAAAAAAGAGCATAACTTTCAAAAACGGAAATATCGCAGAAAGACAGAAAAAAACCATAGTTTATCTGAACTCACACAGACATTATGTGATCTATTGTCTCTACTGTCTAAATCTTTCTGAGTAAAAATGAAATGCATCGGTGCCACGCTTACTGTTGTCTCCTTTGCAGCCTTTGTTAGGTCTCGTCACACAACGCCCTCTATATCTCGTTTGAGAGAGAGCGCTTGTTGCGTGACGAGACCAAAAAACGGTTGTGAAAGAGATTACTCTTACTGCCGTTCTTCCAACAGAGAATATCAAAATTATTCGTCTATTGCTAGTTACCTCAAAAATATAATTCCGCGTGATTTTACTACGAAGAGATAACTGAAAGTCTGTTGTACCTCTAATAGACCTTAACCAAAGATGAATTCGGCGATCTCGAATAAGTGAAGATACATTGAACAAGAGAAAAGGATAATATTTCAAAGAAGGTTCCTTGATTGGTTGTTGCCTATTTGGACTTTGCCCTCTGTGTATGAAATACGTGATAAAATGCAGGTTGTTACTGGGATACCTATGGTAGCCCAGTCATAAAATGCCTTTGTTTTTTTGTCGTCTTTTTTTTTTCCTCCGCCACAAAATGGAAAATTGCGAAATAGTACCCAGAGGTCATTGGGCCCTCAACACCATGACAACTAACTGTGATC